TGAGGCGACGACGCGATAGTACGGTTGCGATGGATGCAAATCTGTGACCTTAGCGCAGCCGACGGCCGGCACGTCGTTCGTCGAGATCCATGTGTCGATGAGTTGATGCGCGCGAATTCAAACACTCGGGAAGGTATTGGCAAGTTGCCGTCGGGCGAACGGTGTTGGAGAGCAGGGGTTGTCTGCGCTTCTGGTCGGCCGCGCGGGCATTGCAACAGCTGGGAGGATAGGCGGGAGCTCAGTGACGGCTGGTGCGGGCACAACCTCCGTTTTGCGACAACCTCGGATACTGAGCGTAGTAGTGGGAACCTCAAATCAACCTCGTAGGAGCCCCTCGTCTCGTCATTGGGGGATTGGCTTTTGCCAACAGCTCACATTGCTTTTGTCGAAGAATTGATAAGTACGGATAACAGGCAGCAGCAGAAGCAGGAGCAGGAGCTGGCTCCGGAGTCTATTCGTAAGGGAAGACAGCCGGTGGCAGTGGGTAGCCCTTGTTGAAACAGCTGTCAAGGCTTGCAGGAACCCCATCCGGCACTGGCGCAAACAAATAGGTTGTCGTTCCGAGCTGGCGAACAAAGGCCGGGGCGGCCGTTTGATACTGGGATCAAAGCCTGGCCCATGCCAAAGTCAGTTCACCACGGCCCACTTGGAGCTTCTGGAATTGTGGACGGAAGCAAGTGGGCGGGTGGTGGAGGTGGTTGTGCTCAGAGTGCGAGAGTGCAATGGCACGATTGCGTTTGCAGGAAGCCAGGTATCTGATTGTTGTCGCTTGAGACCTTGGAGCAAGCCATGTGCACATCCCCATCCGATGTGTTGGCATCTGGGATCCCTTAAGCGGGCTTCGGAGACTTGGGCATCGGAAAGCGCACTCGAACCTCACAGGCGTTGCCGATGTTGTCTCTTTTCGGCCCCCAGGAGACAAGTGAGGCGAGAAGCAGTGGGAGATTCGTAGCATCTATCCCGAGCGCGTGGTTTGTATTGGATATGGAAGCGAGAAAGGAAATTGTCGGTAATGCAGTTGCAAGAGGCAGGTCAGTTTTGGGTATGGAGAAGAGGCTTGGCGAGGCCGCTGACGATGCCGGTTGTGCGGTGGATGTCATGTGGATGGACAGAGCGGGACTTGGAGTGCTGCAGGTCGTTTGAAAGGGACCTGAGTCTGCTTACATTACCTAGGTTGAGGTAACACTGGAAGCGCGGCAGGCCCACCCGCCTTCCTGCAAAGCGCCTACTTCAACGTCAGAAGTCGAGGGGGTGCACCTGGGAAGAGAGAGGAGGCAGGCAGGCAGGCAGCTGGCCTCATCATGTCCACGTCGATGGTAGGAATTGGTTCTTTCTCAAAGACCTACAGTGCCTTCGGATAAAGAACCTTGAAGACACACTGTTCGGCTGTCTGATGTGTAAGGTAAGGCAGGTACGAATAGAGGAAAGAGATGAGGGCCCGACGTCTCTGCCTGCCTTGGGTTGTTTTCTCGTAAGCTCGGTCAGTGTCGTTGCAGGGCAGGCGCGGCTTGAAGTTGCCTTCCTGGTACCGACTTACATATCTCGTCTGGAATAGGAAAGCGCAGGGTTGACCGGACAAGCTGATGGAGGGTGATACAGGGCGGGCGAGCCGCTCCTTCCCTTCCACCACCCCAACCTACCTGCTTAGTACCTACCTCACTAAGGTAGGTAGGTGCCCTAAGTGCCCGCAATGCGGCTGCCTTCCATGCCGTCGTCTCGCGACGGATCGAGACAACGCCTGGCCTGGCCTGGCGCCAACCCATTTTGTTGCCTCCTCTCGGGCGGGCTTGGAACTCTCCACCCAACGATAGCCCTGGGCATCCACGCCCTCGTTTGCATTCGACCAACTACGTTGTTTGCAATTCCGTCTTCACCGGACTCCAAAACGCCGGTGGTCTACGTGGAAGTAAGCTTCTCACATTTTGTCAACAACGGCATTCCCTGTCTTAACCGATACACCAAAGCAGATCCCATGGGCGGGTGCCACAGTTGACCTCATCTCGCAGAGTAGCAAGCTTACGTCTATCATTATGATCCAACACCCTCTAATCTCGAACCTCAGCACCCAAAGTCCTCAGCATCCCTGAGCGCACATCATTGGACAACCGCTAAATTGCTCCCGCCTGGCTCTACGGGCGGTTTCCAGGCGCCCTTCGGTCCCAATGCCCCGAGCTACCCACCCTATCCGTCACTCCGGTTAGCCATTCGAGCCTCGGAATCGATTGAATTGCTCCCATCTACGAAATAATTTCTGGCCACGCACAGCTGTTGATTGGTTGTGTATGCCTTTACGCCGATGGTCAACTGCCCTCACCGCAGTGCGGTAAGATGCGGTCCTCCCTTCCTACCGGCCACAACGGACATGGGGTCCTGGCCATGGTTCGATGTTCGCCCTGGCGAGAGCCACACTCGGTGAAGTTGGGATGATTAGCTTCACACCATCTTGACCAAGCGAGAGCAGTGCCGGTCAAATGCCAGAAGGCCCTGCTGCACCACAGCTGACTGCCCAACCAGCGACCGGCCTTCAGATGATGTGACTTACTGGTCCGGGTGCAGACGCACCTTCACCGTTTGATACAGCCTCCAACGCTGCACCTCGCTGCAAGAAGCAATTATCCGCCGCCATTGAGCAGCATCAAATCAAACGCCTTCATCTCTGGGTGGAAATCTCTTCTCGCGACCCTCCCATCACCAAGATCAACGTTCATTTGCTGTTCTTCCAGAACACACTTCGCAAACTCCACATTCGCGCCATCACACGCGCAGGATTCGACTTGCACGTCGCAAAATCCTCTACAAACACCTTGGTCAATCTCTCCAACAATGGGATGCCAACCCGTCCCGCCTTGTCAATGACGCGGTCTCTTCCGCACCAAAGTTCACACCTGCTGTGGGGACCTTGCTTATCATAGATAGGCATAGAGGAAGTCCTGGTGGTGTTAAAGCCCGCCTGCCATTCCCCGTTTGCAGATAGACTCCACCACTAGCATCTCAACAGCAACAGCCATTCTCGAGACCACGCCATATTGCACCTGATGCTGACGGGCCTCCTCAAACAAAGGCGTCACTCACGAAGGCTTGCTGAGATATTCAACTCGCTCTCCAGAACACCCGTACAACGCCGAACGAAACCAGGAGTCTCCGCTCCGTCCAGGCTGGCTTTCAGCATTCCCGATTCTCATATCGACATGAGACCTACCTAGTCGACGAGGGCCAATCATATTGCCTGTAATTTTCCCATTGGAGTTGCAACCAACAAGGACAGGGTCGTGGCTTTCACAAACGGCAAACCTACACATATGCCTCTGCCATCAACTATCACATATGACAGCGTCGGCTTGTTGAATGATACTGAGAGACCAATCATCTCAACCATTCCTCATGTGCTCCGCAGTTTGCAATCGTCTTGTCGGAGTTGCTGTCGGATGTCACCGGAACGGCTCTAAACTCACTACTACATAGGTTTTGGTCACCCGAAAACACCAACGCTATTTCGCTACAATCAGAGCGTAATGGCCATAGTATCATGCCGGTGACAGCCGAGGCCACGTTTCCTGCCACGCCAACTTTTGCTCGACATTTCAAAATCGAGAACCCTGGCAGCAACAATACGATGGCGTCGTCAGAATCTCAGCTGGCTTCGTTCCCGCCCGGAGCGCGAGAAACACCCTGATGGGGCTGGCCCCGTTCCGTTGGTAATTGTCCTTCACAGGGGCTGCTCCAGACAAGACCCGCCTCCTACTTCAGAGAGGCCCAAGCCCTCGCGTTAATAGGCTTCTCGAAGCCGGAGAAGATGCAGGCGAGAATGGATCCCAAATCCCTCCATGGCCATGTTCGCGGATCCGAAGCCAGCCCCTGCAAGGGCACTATTCCGCTATAAGGAGGACGGCATCTCCAACCCCACCATCAAAGCTCACACACAAAACCACAATGACAACGGCCGCATGACCTCGGCGAAGCTAAGGGGTATAGAACACCAGGCGTATCCGGCAAACTCCTCCTGAATGACCTGAATGAGACGATGGGCGAAGGACTTGTGCACCATGACGATACTGTCCGATCCACCACCTTGCCCCCCAGCAATTTCGATGTTGCGGGGATCCTCAGCCTGTCCGTGGCCTCACGGGTCGCACCCCCTGTCCGGCGCGCACATCTCGCCATTGCCTGATCCAACCGAATATTTTTGGCATGATGGGGGATCCACAGGGGAGCAGAGAAAACGTCTGAAGTCATGGCCGTCGTAACTGCCGCCCGTCTTTAATCAGAGCCAGGAAATTCGGCAACGCCAGGGGAACACACAGTTCTTCATGCGCTCGACACGAAGCGAACTACCTAGGCACATCACCTATCCGTGTCGCTCTCCCTTTTGAAACCCTTGCCGCTGCTTGGCTTTATTCGGATGTCGGCGAGAGGCCATAGTCGATCCCCATTCGGACCAACTCGCTCTTCGTCGACGCAGTCTGTCCTGATCCGAGGCTCATCTTTCTCCTGTCTGAACCGTGGCTTCTCGAGCCGAGAACAACATAGATCCCGGGGCGGTTAGTCACCGTCGGCACAACCAAGTTTACCAGGTTGCCATTGCCATCTCAACCAAACTTCACTAGGGTTGAATCCCGGAATTGCGGTGTGCAATGTGCGCTGAACCCAACCCAAACCCTCGTCTAGACTCTCACCCCGGGAAAGAAAAAGTGATGATACCATGGATAGCTTTCATCCGGTCGACTAACGCTTGACGGCTCGGCGCGTCACACTCTCTCGCCTTGCCATACTCCCTGCGAAGTAACGATGGCGAAAATCACCGATGACGTTGCACTTTTTTTTTCCAACTTCATTCGTGCCGCGCGTGCTCTCTGCCAAGGAATTCAGAGTGCGCGTCAAAGCGGTTATCCAAATGCTGTTGTTGGTATTGGGCATGTTCTGTCATAATCTACTTTTGCCATCTTGCGTGATGCCGTCTATATACTGGACCACGAAGAAGAGTCGGGACGTTTTGCCGCCCGTTACTGCGTGGTCTCCTGCGAAGTCACCTCCGTAGTCGACTCAGATGCTGTGTCGGGAACCACCAAAGGAGTCGGAACCTCGACTATGGTTCCGGGACTAACGGGTTCCTCCTCCTCCTGCTTCTCCTTCTGGATCGACGCTGTTCCGAGACACTCTCCAACAGCAACCATCTCTTCGGCCAGTGCAGCTCCCGTATCCTCCGCGGCAACCGTTGCGGTATCCGTAGCTTTTGGCTTGGCCCTCAGTGACTTCATTTCCAGGCCCTCGCTGTCACTTTCCCTTCTCTCATGATCTTCAAACGAGAAGAGGTCCGATAGGTTGATGGCCAGGAAGGTCTTGGGAAGCTTAACTCTGCACACGGTTGTTAGCAAAGGAAGATCATTCAAGCGGGCACGCGGATAGGAGCAGCTCGCCACCGCGGGAAGTTTGTGGTAACTTACTGGTTAAACTTGGCTCGCAGCGTGCGGATCACATGCATCCAGTCTGCGTGAGGTGTCAAGCTGCGACGCGGCGCGCAGCTGATGCTGTGCTTGCTGTCGAGCTGCACGTCCAGGGGGTCGTAGACGTGGCATCCTGGACTGATGGTGATCCTGATGCTATACGCAAAAGTCTGCTCCTCCCCGCCTTCGGGGGCGTTGGAGGGCGTCTTGATCTCGGACTCGTACAGCTCGAAGCAGATCTGCGAGAGATAGTCAAGCTCGGGAATGGTGCTGCGCTTGATCTTCGTCTCGATGCCTCCTTCGAGAATGCAGTTGAGGAGGGTGTAAATGTGGGACTCTTTGGTGAAGTAGAAGAATGACTTTGCGTCATTGGATGCCTGCATTTCCTCCAAATCCTGGACAATCTCCTTGAGCAGCGGCAGCGACGTCAGGAGACCAATCTCCAGCTTTTCGCTATCAGAAATGCCGTACTCCTGTGGGCAGATAAAGTCGAAAAGAACTTTGGCGAGCTGATAGAGCTCCCGCAGCGGCTCGAACCGGGCATCCGTCTTGGCCTTGGTCTGGGTGGTGCCCTTGTACAGATGAAAGTATTGCTCGGGAGCGGCCTGCTCACCGTTGTGTCGTAAGCCATTCAGGAACGAACGACGGCGGAAGATGCGTCTGACGGAAGTCGAGCTCTTGCTCGCCTCACTCTTGTTATCCGCCTTGTCACTAGATCCCGAAACCTCCCGCTTGTCCTCTCTGGAGTCGAAGGACGCCTTCCCTTCCTCCGAAGTCTTTTCCGTGGCCTTGGTATCCTTGTCCTTGACGCCACCGTATTCTTCCTCTAGCATAGCCTTAGGCGGCGTGAAGACCCATTCCAGGAACTGCCGATTATGCAGAGCATCGAACTTCATCGTATCGTAAAGCTCGGAAATCTTGCTAGGATCGACCTTTTCTCCGTCACAAAACTCCGCGAAAAGCTTCTCCCAACGCTCCCGGAAAAGCTCCGCGTCTTCACCACAGCACCAACGCGTTTGAATAGTGTTGATCGCATTGGCTTGGGACAATGATGACGACGTTGAGCTAACGGATGTCGATACGTCTCCATTGTGCTTCTCAGAGCCAGGGTTGGTGATGTGGGTGTTGAGCGAAGCAACAGCGCTACCGTTGTTCAGCTTTGCGTAGTTGTGATGCATCACCCGACGATGGAAATTCATCAACTGGACCACACGGGTCTGTACCTCTGAAGGCTCTGGCATCTTGTCGGGCCAGGCAAATTGAGACGGTCTCTCGTTGCCCTTGCGCAGTAGACCCTTCAGCTTCTTCTTCACCTTGTCCATCTCATCCTTGGCAGCGTTGGAGTCATCGAGAAGGTCTTTGCGAATGGTAATGAAGTCCTCAGGAAGATCTTTGCGATCCAAGAAGGAAGACGCCCAGATCTGTGCACTAGTGGTGACACGACGCTCAGAACTGCTGAAAACATGAACCTCGTCGAGAACATCTCTGTTGAGCAGATTGAAGTCATTGCGCATGTTCTCACCCAGTTCCTGTGCTTGGTACCGTGCGGAGTGAGTCGGCTCGCCGCCCCATTTGACGATGAGCTGGAGTTTATCCAGAACAAGACTCTCTTCCGCCGCAGTGATGCGTGACATGGTAACACCAGAGAGTGAATCATGTCTTTTCGGCGCTTTCCGCGACGGAGAAGAGTTATCCGCCTTTGAAGCGCTGTCCTCAACTTCGGACTTTTCTGCGAAGTCGGTCTCAACGCCTTCTTTGAGTACCTGGTTTAGCTCGTCTCCAGAAGAAACTGCGACGTCTTCAGTCTTCTTCTTGCGGAACATGGGTTTGATCTGAACTTTTGTGCCCGCCCAGCCACCCTTCTTGACCAAAACGTTACGGAGGGATTTTAGCTTTTGACGATCCTCAACACCAGCCCTCATTGCAACGTCGACAGCTTGCAAGACGCTCGCCAAGGCCGCCTCGCCAATAAGAAGGACTTCCTCCTGATGTCCTTTCAGCAGCTCGATAAAAGGCTCTGTGTGGAAAGTGAACTTGTACTTTTGCTTCGGGGTACGGTCAGCATGGCGTATAACCGACACAATACCCTTAAGCTTCCAGGAGTGCTTCGGCGGTGGCGGAGCCGGCGCCTCCTCGGGTGGTGCGGGAACCTCGCCTTGCAGTGAGGGTGTCGCAGAGGGTGTTGCGCATGCTGTGGCGGATGGGACGCTTGCAACAGCCGGGTCTACGATTGGAGGCGGAGGCGGAAGTGTTGGACTGGTGCAGGAGCTGGTTACTGTCGATGCCAAAGTACTGTCTGCTTTTGGTTGAGGGGTGCTCGTGGGTATAGGTTTGGGCTCTGTTGGCTTCTCGGAGGCAGTCGACATGTTGCTCAGAGATTTGTTCTGAGTCGGCGGTGCGGATGCTGGCTGCGATTCCTTCTCCTTGCCTCGCGAAGCCAATGGATCTGTGATTTCCGAAGGAGACGGGGAAGGTGCAGGAGAAGTGACGCCGCCTCTTCTGAGTCTCTCTTTGACAAAGACCTCCTTCAGAATGCTGGCACAATGTTCGTAGTAATCGTCATTGTCCTTGACGAAACTCCAGCCATTGACGTCGATCACGTAACTCTTTCCTCCGGCTCTCAGGAAGTCAAACCCACAAACTCGCTGGCCAAAAGAGGTGGAAATCTTGCTGGCGATTTCCTTCTCTTCGGCGTTGAGACCGGTAACATATCGAAGCTCCTTGCCATGTGTGTTACGTCTCACAACGCCATCAACAACAGGGGATTTTCTCGTTTCGGCGTGGCAGTAGTTGGGCCCAACAGTGTAGGCTTTGACGTCTTCGGCGTTATCAACTCGCATGAACTTTTCGTAGATGTAGCTGTTCTCTGGCTCTAGAATAGCACGAGGAACGTTCAACTCCGGGTCGTATTCAGAACTCTTGTTGCCAATCTTGCGGAAAAGCCTGCGCGCACCACCACCTGTCGCTTTGGGAAAGTAGATGATGATGTTGTGGTCCTCACCACTGACAGGCTTCTCCACAAATGGCTTCTTGAGTAAAGCACCGTCGACGCTGAGAATGTCGCCGTCGTCCAGCAATTCAACCTTTCGAGGCAAGCGGTTGTAACCCAATTCCTCAGCGTCCAAGGCGATACCCGTAATATCTTTGATGTGCTTGGCCGTGTCTGGAGTCAGAATCGCGGGCCCACCATCGCGGTTCACCTCAATTCGCTTCGGGGTTGGCACATTGATGCGGTCCAAGATGTTCAGGCAGAGACGACGATCCCAAAGGATCTTTTGCATGGGAACATCGTTGACGCAGAACGGCTTTCTGGTCTTGACGTAGGCGATAGCCTTATCCAGTGGGAAGCCATCCGAGTAGAAGGAGATCAAATAATCGCTGAGAAAGTTTAGTGAGAGAACTACCGTAGAAGATTACCAAGCGGTTGGGCGCGACCGGAATGGCCATGGCCGCTTGAACGGGCCTGTTGTCGTCTGGAACGGAGCTATGCTGTTTCGGCTCACCGAGCCTTACGGTGCGGGAGGGCATACGAATTACTTACCAAATGGGCCAATTTTCAACCTCTGGTAGGAAAAACAATGTCAGCACAGTCCTCGTTTAAATTTCGTGGGTCTCCCTTTCTGCGCAATTTCTTCTGGTGGTGTTTTCCCTTCTCTTTGGTCCAGTGTATTTTCTTGCTTCCGTCCCATACCTACACATTTTCCAGCACAGGGTGTTGCTCTTACCTTCATCCAAGATGACTTTATCGCCAAATACCACCACATCGAACTCGCGATTCGCAATAAGACGGTTAAGAATGTTCCTGCTGGGTTTGCTCCGAGCCTTCACGTCCAACGCGCATACTCCAATGACACCCCAGGGAGCTGGCTTGACTGCAGGTGTATTAGAGTTTGTCGGAACACGTTGACGTGGCGCGCTTGTTTCTCTTGACTGACCCTCTTCTTTCTCCTTTCCGTTGTGATAGGGTCCTCGGTCGCTGCTGGGGCTGTGGCTACTGGCGCCCGTGCTTCCACTGAATCTCCGCTTGTTTCTACTACGGGATCGGGTAGGCTGGGGACGGTGGTGGTCACGATGAGGACGCTTAATCAGCTCGTGGTGGTTGTGGTTGTGGTTTTCGCGCGCCGTGAGGTTGTGGGTGCCCGATGCTGCGGTGGTGCCATTCTGTGCAGTGGACGAGGTGGTGACGGTGACGTTGGAGACCTCGGCGCCTGGCTGAGAGGCGTTCGTGACAGGCTTGCCGGACGACATGATTCCAGAAACCGAACGAGCAGCGCCGCCGTCAGAGCCGTTGGTAGAGGCGGCCGAAGATTGTGACTGGACTTGGCCAGGTGCAGACGAGGAAACGACGCCACGAGCCGAGGCCAGCGAGTATACAGAGAAAACGCTGGAGACGGAAGCGCGCTTATTGGGCTCCGATTCGGAAGAAAAAGAATTGCGGGTTGTGAGGGCGGGCTCCGGGAGGGGACGATATGGGGCGGTGGGATCTTGCTGGTGGCCGGGTCCAGCCATGAGGCGTGGGGTATCGGTTTGTTCGTCGGCGTCGGCGAACTGCAGAGCGGAGTCGCTCCAGGCCTCGAGAGAGTTATTGGATTCGCGACGGCTGCGGCAGAGACAGGATCGAGGACTCTTCAAGGGAACAGAAGAGGGTGGGGGCATGGAGAGGCTGGCGGTTGCGGAGTGGGCGTCGCTTGTTCCTGGCTCAGCATGTCTGCTCTTCCTGCTGGCGGAAGAGGGGAGATTGAGCGAGTGGGAGACAGAACGGCCGGGTCTGGATCGCAGAGGTAGGTCGGCAGAGGTGGACGTGTTGTTTACCGAGGAATGGGAAGGCGAAGAGGGCGGCTGTCCGAGAGGAGAGGCAGGCGTGGCAGCGGGAGAAGCAGGAGCAGCAAAGGAGCGAGCGCTATCTACAGATCGCCGGGTGTTAAAATTTGGTCGGTCCATGTTTCCAGAAGAGCAGCGACAAGATCAGACAGGACAGGCAGGATGGGGGTTGTTGCTGACTCGAGAGTTCTCGATTTTTGGACGCTAGAACCTTGCTGATTTTGCGTGCGTGGGCTTGAACTCTTTGTCCCGCGTGGCCAATGGTGCTCAGTGCGATGCAATGCGGCGACCCGGGCTGGAGCGACGAATTGACCTGACGATGACCCGGGGAGGTTTTAAAGCGCGACGAAGGTTCCTCGTGGGGTGATGAAGTCAGTGGCTACTGGCAGGTTTTCCTGCAAGGACGTTGGCCAGTAGGAAAAGTTGGAGTTGGAGAAGAAAGAGGTAAGCAATTGGGGTTCGAGGGCGTGCGGTTGCAGTTGCAGTCGCAGTCGCAGTCGCCGTCGCATCCAGACCAAAAAAGGTTGTTGGAGGTGCAGAGTGACAGCGTGACAGCAGGGAGAGGGAGCGACCAGACACCCGGAATTCCCCTTTCATTGGGCAGCAAAGGGAAGACGGAATTGCAACAGGGACCCTGCCTTGTCCTTCAGCTCAGCTCAGCTTGCCCAGGTTTATCATTATCAGGCCGAGGTAAAACCCCATGTAGGTATCTTTGCAAGAGGCGACGACGACGATATCCTGCTGCGAACGTGATGCACCCACCCACTGATTAAGACATTGCCGGCACACAAAAGGCAGCACCCGCCGCCCACGAATGCCAGCAGACGTGGAGGCCATTCTAGAAGCTGGCTGCCAAGATGGGAGGGCACACACGCACACTGAAAAACATGCAGCAAGGAGGGGCAGGGGCAATGGCAAAAAGTTCTAGACGTCGCAAAGACCACGCTGCAAGACCAAGGATGACGTTGTGTGGTCAAAACGACGCTTGTACCTAAGACACTTGCTTAGCGCTTCCGGCAGCCAGCGCCTGACAACACGAACTGCTTGCTAGGTACCTTATGCATAGTAACTACGCTTTCCGGCGAATCGCAATGCCGAACGCAGCGTTTGACACCTGCACTTCCATTGACGGTGCGGGTGCTTTTTGCAATTCGCTTTCTCCTAGTCGCCTAAGGTTGCCCAAAGACTGGACGAAATGACACCATGCCTTGCGAAATGCATGCCGTCGAGGCCACGGCCCAGCTGCTTAGTTACCATCTGAAGATTGTTGCTAGCATTCAACGGCCAGTACCAATTGAGCTGGAGAAAGTCGTCAGTATCAGGGGCAGTCGTTTCTATTACCACATGGAATATCAATCCGTGCCAGGATAGGTTCACCGAGTCTTCACCGCCAGTGAAGCTGCCAATGCCTCCTGACTGCAGCCAGGCGCTGAATACAGACTGGCCCGACAGAGCACAGTGTTCAGTTTCGTGGACTCTGAGAGCCATGCTTCGTAAGCCTTTCAAGAGACGAACACTCAATAACACACGGTGATTTGAAATTGTATAATTGACTACCAAACGAAGTTGATAGCTTATGCATCAGTCCATCAGAATTGATCCTGCAATAGTGGCCCGGTTCTGCGGAATCGCTCCGGTATCCGGCCCCAGCAATCCGGCGGGGGCGGGGTGGCCCGGCTGAAAGTCGGCAAAACCACCCCTTGCATCTGATAAGATAAGGATCGAAAAAGTTGCTCGGCCGCGACTGGAGATTTTTTCGACGTGCTCGACGACCGCATCCTGGAGCTCCGTGTCCAAGTAACGTGTAGTTCCACAGCCGCAATGCCTCATTCGGAGCCAGCAGAAGGACCTCTGGTCAAGCGACAAAAGCGCGATGTCGCTCCCAAGGCCTCTTCGGCTTTGCGCCAGTCCTCACGCATCTTCGCTCCCTTTCGCGTAAGCCCCCTTCGTCGCCGTCGCCGTCGCGACCAACGCCGTACCATCAATTCCTTCTCCGGCTGACTCTCATTGTCCTAGACCGTCGGCCTGGTGTCTCCCACAAACACGCCGTTTACATCGATCCCCATGGGAAAGACGACTTTCCAAATCACTACCTCTGTCGGCCGAGCCTTGCAGACATACGACCTCAAGAGAGGTCTCAACCTGATTTTCGTCACTCGCCCCCAGACCCCCGCCGATATTACCGCCACGCTCGCTTGGAAGGACAAGGTTTTCGCAGCTTGGGGCGATGGAAGGACCGGTGAGAAGCAGGGTCTTTGGGCCTACAAGCGAGGCAAGAAGGTCGACGAGCTCGAGGTTCCTGCCGACCTGAACGAGCCCATTCAGAAGATCCTGATCTTCGGCTCGTGGATTGTTGGATGCGCCTTGACGAGGCTCGAGGTTTGGAAGTCGGAAACCATGGAGCACTACACTACCCTCCACACCATGGCCAGTGCCAACGGTGGCAACGAAATCACGGGCGGCGTCACCAACATGCCCACGTATCTGAACAAGGTCTTCGTCGGCCGAAAGGACGGCTGGGTCGAGATCTGGAACGTCAGCACCGGCAAGCTGATCTACACCGTTCTCCCCCCCAGCCCGGAATGTGGTGCCGTCACCTGCCTCGAGCCCTCTCCCGCGCTTTCTCTCCTTGCGATCGCCTACGCCAATGGCACGTTGGTCATCCAGAATATCCTGACCGACAAGCCCATCATTCAGCTCAAGGCTGGTCACGAAGACGAGCCGGTCACGTCAATCTCCTTCAGAACCGACGGCATGGGAGCAGGCCATGACGGCAGGAAAGATGGTGTCATGGCTACTGCGACGGCCGCGACTGGAGACGTCACATTTTGGGATCTGAACAACGGAGGCCGTGTCATGGGTGTCTTGCGGAGCGCCCACAACCCGCCATCTGAGGACGGACCTCTTGTTCGTGGAGGCATCAGCAAGATCGAGTTCCTGCCCGGCCAGCCGGTCGTTGTCACCAGCGGACGCGACAACGCTTTGAAGACCTGGATCTTCGATGAGACCCCCTTCTCAGCCGTCCCCCGCATCTTGCACCAACGCAGCGGACACGCCGCTCCCGTCAAATGTTTGCAGTTCTTGCCCTCAGACTTTGACGGCGCCGACGCCGGCAACAAGTGGCTTCTCAGCGGTGGTCAGGATCGCAGTCTATGGGGATGGAGTATGCGTCGCGACGGTCAAAGCACCGAGCTCAGTCAAGGAAACATCCGCAAGCAGGCGAAGAAGGCCGGTATCCTGTCTTCAAAGGCTCTTGCGCGAGGACCCACTACGACTCTCGAGGACCTCAAGGCTCCCGAGATCACGGCCATCGCCAGCTCTCTGAACCGCGACGGTGGCATCGGTGCTTTGCCCGGCAACCACCCGATCTGGCAGAAGCGCAGGGATAACAAGAAGCAGCAGGATGCCGAGGTCAGTGGCATGACCGGCTGGGAGAGTGTTGTCACCGCACACAAGGACGACGCCTGGGCGCGAACCTGGTTCTGGGGTCGCAAGAAGGCTGGCCGTTGGGCATTCCCCACAGGCGACGGTTCCAACGTGTCTACTATCGCGATGAGCCCGTGTGGTACCTTTGCCTTGGTTGGTTCAGTGGAGGGTGGTGTCGACATGTACAACTTGCAGTCCGGACTTCACCGCCAGCGGTTCCCTTCCAAACTCACTCCTGCGCAGGCCAGGCAAATGAAGCTGCAGCAACTGAAGCAGGCGGACAACATCGTCCAGCTTCAGACCGAGGTGGACAGCGGTTTCGCCCCGGGCACCGGCAGGCATACGAAGGCCGTAACCGGCATCGTCGTCGACAACCTGAACAAGAACGTCATCACGTGCTCGCTGGATGGCAAGGTCAAGTTCTGGGACTTCCTCACAGGCAAGCTGCTGCACCAAATCAACTGGGCCCCGATGGCCGCCATCACGGGGTGCAGGTACCACGCCGCGAACGATCTGATGGCCTTCGCCTGTGATGACAACTCCGTCCGCGTCGTTGACCTCGAAACCAAGAGAACCATCAGAGAGTTCTGGGGCTGCCAGGGCGCCATCAACGACTTCTGCTTCTCCAACGACGGCCGCTGGATCATCGCGGCCTCCCAGGACTGCGTCGTTAGGATATGGGACCTCCCGACCAGCCACCTCATCGACGCCATCCGCCTCGAGAAACCCTGCACCGCGCTCGCCATGTCCTCCTCCGGCGAGTACCTCGCTGCCACGGTCGAGAACGAGCTCGGCGTCGCCATCTGGACCAACAAGTCCCTCTTCACACACGTCTCGACGCGCCAGATCTCAGACAAGGAGGCTGCGGTGCTCTCCTGCCCCACAACGTCCGGCGAAGGCAACGAGGGCCTGTTGGAGGCCGCCTTCGAGGACGACGCCGGCGCCGAGGACGAGACTGTCGTCGCGCCCAGCGTCGACCAGCTCAGCGCCGACCTCACGACGCTCAGTCTGGTGCCCAAGAGCCGCTGGCAGACCCTGCTCCATCTGGACCTCATCAAGCAGCGCAACAAGCCGACAGAGGCGCCCAAGGCCCCGGAAAAGGCGCCGTTCTTTTTGCCGTCCGTCGGCGCTGGCAAGCAGGCTGCCAACCAGATCGAGGGCGCCGCCCCTGACGCCGAGGGCGCGAAATCAAAATCACGCATCACCAAGCTGGAACGTGGCCGGCTGCAGGAAGTGTTTACCAGCAAGCTGATCGACGGTGCCGCTTCAGGCGACTGTAAGACTTCCCCTTTCTGACCTTTCAGGACACGGATCCAACTAACTTTGTCCCAGTCGACGACTTCATCACCCACCTCAAGACCCTCTCCCCTTCCACAGCCGATCTCGAGCTCCGCTCCCTCAGCCCTGAGGACGGTGGTCTCCTGAACTTCATCCGCGCGCTGACGAGTCGCCTCGCGGCCCGTCGCGACTACGAGCTTGTGCAGGCGTGGATGACGGTGTTTTTGAGGCTGCACTTCGACTTGGTCATGGCCGACCCTGCGCTCCTCGAGGCACTGGGCGAGTGGAAGGCTCTGCAGGAGAAGGAGGCCGGTCGCCTTGATGACCTTGTTGGATACTGCAGCGGTGTCGTTTCCTTCCTCAGGAGTCCCCGGACATGAGGTGGTCAGATGTGTATATGAGCTAGGGGGATGATGAGGGGCGGAAATCATGACAGCAATGGATCGAAGAGGAGGAGTCGGGGGGGGGGGGGCGCGGGGGGGGCAGAGCGTGTGTGCAGATAGGCATGCTTTTTGATAGAATACCCAGAGAGTTCCAAGGGCATTGTCTTCGTCCTCGTGAAAGTTGTCTTTGCCAAAACATTTGACTCGGCCTTGCATCATTTGCTTTGGCTACGCTGACGGGCGCTCAACATATTGTCTTTTCGATTCCAACTATTTTCGATTACGTTACACTTTGAGCACCTACCTCACCCATACTTTCAAACTAATCTACAGCAAAGCTATCAAGGCAATGAGAGAAGCCACAGTGACGGCAAACGCAGCTCTGCTAATCTCCGCTGTGCTCGACGCTCCGTTGGGGTTACCTGAGGCAGAGGGAGTAGCTCCAGTCGTGCCAGTGCCGCTACCACCGCCGCTTCCACCACTGGCGCCGCCGCCGCTCCCACCTCCCGTACTCGTCTGGCTCGACCAGTACGTCTGATTCCACTCCTGGTAAGACAAGCTCGAGTTCAGCCTCAGAACCAGATCCGTATCATCGGCCGTCACCTGCGCCGTCGACATCATCCCGTTCCAGCAGTGCTTCGCGAAGCAGTCCTGGCACTGCTGCGGCAGCGCCATCCCGAGCCGCGCGAGACTGCCGCGGATGGTCGCGCAGGCGAGGCAGGCGGGCCATGCGGCGTCGATGGTGCCGTTACCGTAGGTCGCGAGCTGGAAGGCGTTGTCGACGGTGAGGTCGAACTCGTTGTCCGTGAAGGAGGACTTGGTGTACGTGTAGTTGATGTAGCCGGACCAGGGGGAGTTGGGCAGGTAAAGGACGAGCGGGGTCGGGGCTGTGTCGTTGCAGCCGAAGAAGGTGGGCTGTCTGGTCATGTTCATGGTGATGAGGGTGTTGACGTCGGGGACCTTGGGGAAGGGGATGTTACCCTGGGCGGCGGACTGGGCGGAGTTGACGAGGTTCGTGCCGTTGACCCAGTTGTACATGAGCGAGTCGGAGGAGGCCTCGTAGACGATGACGAGGTCGACTTGGCGTTCGGGGATGATGAGGGGTCGGATCGGGTTGGTCTCGCCCGCCATACTTCCATCAAGCTGTGGTTGTTAGATTGCTGCTGGTGCTAAGTCTCTCAGGGATTGATATTGACATACCAGAAGAAGGTTATCAACGTTTTGCATGGCTGGGTTCATGTTCTCGAAGGGGTTCGGGTACGTAGCCCATAGCGAGTCGTTGAACGACTGGTTGAAGTTTTGGGCGGTATTGATGACAAGCTCAACTTCACCGTTCCCCTCCTTTCCAGGAGGCACTGTGATGTTGTTCGAAGCCGTCTGTCTGCTCTCCAGCTCTCGCTTCGCAAACGTCGGGACGCCATACCAGTCATCGATGAACCAGGCATCAAAAGCATCAGCCGTAGACCCCTGCAGGAAGGTGTACTTGTCGAAGCCCATCACACACTCGCTGCTGTTCTGCGCCGTCCCGTTCGACATGGACGTGCCGAGGTACATGGTTGGCATGAACGCCTGCACTCTGCCACCGCGCCAGCTTCCGAACTCGAACGGCGTGACTTCGTAGGAAGTGAGGTTGAAGCCATTGGTGGCGTTGCGGCCGGGCCACATGATGTTCTGGATGCTAGGCGACTGGCCTGGGATGACCTCGGAGAGGGCAAGGATGGGCATTGGCGCCTCTCCGCGGGAGAAGACGGTGTTCTGAGCCGTGAGATCGGAGAAATTGCCGTATGTCTTGTTCTCTGGCAGATAGACGGCCCAGAACTTTCCAAAGGCATCAGCAACGGAGACGGGGAGGCCTTGCTCCGCCTTTGCGCCCATATCCTCGAAGATGTCCTGAAGGTATTGGTCCTGGTTGTCATCCTTGCCCTTGGTGTAGTCGACGGTGAAGTTGATCGCCTTTCTGAGTTCTGCGATGGAAACGAAGTCGTTGGCGGCACTGGTAGTCATACGTCAGTCACCACAGAAATGAGAGAGATAGGGAAGCCTCACAGGGTGCTGACTGTGAGAGCTCCTCCGCCACTAAGACCAGTAATGTACGACAAGACCTGCGTCAAACCACCCGTTTTGGCCTGCACCGCAGCTGGGTTGCGAGCGTCAAAGGCCTGCCAGATGCCGAGACCGCCGACACCCGACTGCGTGCCTCCTCCCGAGACGGAAAGGCCGACAACGGGGTAACTTGTGGTGTTGAGCTTCTGGATGTAGTCCTGGACGTTGAAGCCGTCGATGTTGGCCAACGTCAGGTAGCTGCTCAGCGCCGGGATGACCTTTTCGCCGCGGCTCGCTTTCCATGACGACTCCGGCTTTGAAAGTCCCTGGACCACATTAGAACATGTGTCACCGTCACGTTCGGATAACGTACTTCTGAAGCAGCTCTCACTCGCAGGCCGTCAGGGCATTGGCCGTAGACGGGCGCGTACGGATCCTGCTGGGAATCGTCGTCCTGAGCGCAGGCGAGTGCTGCGCCGAGCAGGGTGCTCGCGAGGAGACAGCGGTTCGATGTGAGATGCATGCTGAGCAGTCCTCCCCAAGCTGTCAAAGTACAGACACAGATGGAACGAGGCAGCTTTTCTCCCTTCTCTGGGGATGGCCTCTGGTTTTATCCCTCCATCTTGAGAATTGCAGCTGCGTTCGTGTCTTGCAAAAGCTTGCTCGGAAGCGCTGCCCAGCAGCATGCGGGGAAGCTTGCTACAGCTCTGACGAAGACGGCTAGACGGAGATCTGGTGGTGAGAGGCGCATTCTCGGAGCCCTCGCCGGAGCCTTGATCTTTGTGGAACTTGGGGGCTGAAGCTTGCCCCCTGCGAGCTGTCAGATCTGGGGCTGAGCGCGCGAGTGCGCCTGCCCAATGAGACCGTCGACGTTGGCCGGATCGAGCTAGGTTGCACAGAGCCACCGCGTGTCATTTGGAACGGAATCCCATGAACCCTTTGCAGGGCAAGTAGCTGTTAGAATAGGACGACAGGTACTTCTTGGGAACATATCACAAGCACCTTGGTTGATGATCGGCTGCAGTCGATTTCATCTGAGAGATGATGTTGCAATTGGCAGGTTAAGGCATGCAAGACTGAGAATTACCGGGAGAAGCTGACACATGCAGGTTGGGTTCGACAACAGCGTGCCTTTTGAGCTCTTGCTGTTCTTTCCGGGAGCTACTACTAAGTCTCCGATCGACGATCTCGGTTCATTCCTGCCAACCACTACAAGAACCTTGTTCCTGGACCTAGAGCTCATAAACCCCGACTATGTTGGGGATTGCTTTCAAGAGTGGCTTGGTGCAGTTTTAGAGGGTTGCTGCGGCTGCAGCGAGATTCTGTTTCCATGCTTGCGGGGTTGCGTACTGTTGCATGCGTCGATGGCTGCTGTGGCTTGGTCGCATTGAATTCTTGGAATGCGCCTGGTTGATATGGCTTATTTTGATGCAGACGAGCAAGAATGATCCATGCCGTCCTAGAAATTGAGAAGAATTGTATTTTCTATTTGTGCTTTCCGTTCGCTGAGAATCGACCATGGCCCGCGGTTCGCATTGGTGGTTATGCAGAAGCAGGGTTCCGTGTACTGCGTATGTCCGTCCGTCTCCAACGTGAACGTGTTAGTGGCACAGGCAACTCAATGACTAGTATCCGCTTCGTCCGATGTCTAATTGACCTGTCAAGACATGAAAGTCCAGCCTACGACTCGTTTGTCGCCCGAAATCGTCCATCCCCAACAGTACTGAGTCGTAGCTTGACATGTGTCTTTGGAAGAGTGAATTAACCCCAGAAACAACGGCACCTTCCCGTCCTTTGCCGCCAAGGTACTTTCGGACCCACTTTCGATGACAAGGCCCCACTGACGCCATTTCCACCGCATTCATGTACGCTCTGCGTCCCTGCATCGTCACAACACATCCTGGTCACTGCCAGATCAGGGTTCGGGCCTCGTGGCGCAACGGTAGCGCGTTCGACTCCAGATCGAAAGGTTATCCGTTCAAATCGGGTCGGGGTCATTTCTTTTGCCTTTTGCAGAGGCTGTAGATGTTTCTTTTTGCTCTGGAAGTATGTTGAGATGGTGTTGTTGACGTACAGGATTTGGTGAGCGATTTTTGCGGGTGCGGGGTGAGTACGTGGTAGGACAAGCCGGCCGGGGTAAAATAATGACCGAGACATGCTACCCGTCTGAAATCAGGTTGCTGGCTCTCTTTTTCGAGACGAGAGTCTTGATTCTTGTTGGTGTATCACGCGGTGTTAGGCCTGCTGCCTCGCCGGTGAATTGCGTGTGGCAAGGGCCATCACTGGTCTAGGCTTTCAAGCATGGCCTTGCCAGCATGAACAATCACTCTGAGCTCTCGCGGACTCTTGTGTGTTGATATATTGTTGCGGATACCGTGGTGAAATTGTGCACGATATGGTCTTGTTGTATGTCGACTGACAGGTTTCCACTTGGGGAAGGCACTGCCTTTGGGACCTTCTCCATAAACAGCAACCGCAGGACAGGGAAACCATTGCAATTACAGATATTCTCGCGTCTATTCATCATCAACGTCTCGTTCATGAAACATCTAATGTCTACTCTTTAAGTCTACTGTATCATATTTTGCCACTCTTTTGGTCTTTCCCTCCCTAGTTGAAGTTCTCCCGGAACACACCCAACGCCACGGCTTTCCTTCGCAACGTCGACTTCACATGCCCGTTGACACCCTCTACCGGCCCCCTCTCAAACGTGAACACCTCCTTAACACCAAGACTCTCGAGATAGTCCAGGTTGCGCTTGTAATTCGTCGCGACCTGAGCGATGCCATGGCTGTCGTCAGAGAACGTGAACTCACCCCCCATCTCGAGCCATTTCTGCAAAATTCAAGTCAGTAAACCTCAACCCTGATACCGCCCCGGATAAGCAGCACTCACCTCAGCAATGATCCGACAAGGATACGGCTCCGCAAGGCCCTTCCTCAACGCGCTGCTGTTACACTCCAACAAGCCCCCATACCCCTTCACCACCTCCAGGTTCCTCACGACCCTCTCCCACACGCCCTTCCATTTCCTCACATCCCGCGCGGGGTCCTCGCTCATCAGGCGGATCAGGTCAAAGTGGCCCACCACCTTGGGCTCCAGCGCCGTGAGCATCTCGTGCTGCTGGTCGTAGTACCGCTCGTACATGCGCTCCTCGCACCCGCCGGCCGTCTTCATCGCGTCGACGTACATCTCGCGCGAGTAGTCGATCGGCACCGCGTTGACGTGGTGCAGCGAGCCAATAAAATAATCCACCGCCGGGTGCGCCGCGAGCGACCTGATAAAAGGCCCGTACGCGGGGCGGTACCACTCGCCCTCGAAGCCGATGAGCAGGTCGATCTGCCCCGCGTACTTCTCGCGCAGGCGCTGCGCCTCGGCAAGGTAGGCGTCGTGGCGCGGGGCGAGGACCGCGAGGGCCGCGGCCGGGTCGCCCTCCTCGAGCTCCTCCGGGTAGAGGTCCGCCGTCTCGAGGCGCGGCATGTGCTCCGTCAGCCCCATGGTCTTGTAGCCGATGCCGATGGCGTGCTGGATGATGGACTCGAGCTGGTCCTTGGCGTGGCCGGGGCAGAACTGCCCCGAGTGGGAATGCATCGTGAACGCCATGTTGTCGGCTCTGGAGTGGGTGTTGGTGTTATGTATTATGTGTAAGTGAAGACCACGACGGGTGCGACGTTGAGGTAGGTGTGAGATGAGATGAACCGGAGGGCGGCCGAGGTGAATGAGTCAAGGGTATGACGTCTGCAAGTCTGCGAGACACAGTTGGGGTAAAAAGAAGTTCAAGGGAGAAAGATTTCATCTGAGAAGAACCGCGGACAAGTTTATCAAGCTCGACTGCCAGGTACCGAGATGGCTCTTGGAAAAGGTCGAACAAGTGGCGCGCAAGGCGTGTGTAATCGCCAATCAATGGTTGACAAGAGGCCAGGACTTCCTTCGTTCCCACGAGTCACTGCGGCGGGATGCAACATGCCCCTCCAGAGCCCGAAGCCGCTTTGCTGCATGGTCACTGAAAATATTTTCCCCACTGGACTGGAACCTTTTCGGGCCCCGACGGGTGGCCGTAGCAAATCACTGACGCTGGCACGTCCACGTTTGACGTGCAGGAATTCCCAGCACCCAGATCCCTCCCGCATGCCAAGCTTCGCGTGTCCGCGGGGATCGTTGCATGTCACGCTGATTGCTGCATGGGCACTTTTGTCTGGCTCTTTAGGTGCTTGGGTGCATCTGGTGACATTTCATTTCCTCTCCTTGCGAAAAAGTCGAGGTGCTTATTACAAGTAGCGTACAAGAATGGTAACTCTAGACCAGGACAAAAAAGACCAACTCGGGACGGTGGGAGGGTATCATGACAGGCAGACTCGAAGCCTGCGACCGGCTCGCAGGCCAGGAAAATTCTTTAAAACAAAAAGCAGGGCTCTTCTATATCGAATCAAGGGAAAATAAGACAAAACGAATAGGCGTTCTCAAAGTGTGGAATTTTTGAGAGGATCCAAGTCAATCAATTCTCGACAAAAGTCCTCTTTCTAAACGCCAATGGAATTGGGATAATCCCCATTTGAAATTCGCCGCTGCTCTACTTCTGCGGTGTCTCGGGGATTTCCCAGATGGATTTGGCAGACTCTCCAGCCTCAGGCTTCACAACAGGCTCTTTCTTGACACCAGGAGATTTGATGCCAGGTTTGACGCCAGCAGGTTTGACACCTGAAGATTTGGCGGCAGGAGGACCGTTCTTCTTCGGCTGCGCAAAGGGAATGGTCGACTTCGACGTGAAGACAGGAAGGTCTGCGCGCTTCATCTTAGCCAGCGGTGCCTTGGACGATGATGCTCTGGGCGGTGACAGCTTGGCGGGCGATGGCTTAGTCGGCGACTTCTTGGCCGGCGGCACCTTTGATGGTGACTTTGCCGGTGATGATTTGACAGGTGTATTGGTGTTGGGCGGCAGCCACTTCAGTGGCTCTTGCGGTGTCATGGTGACTGGTTCCGGACCTTCCGGCTGGTAGTTGATAAACACATCAGAGCCCGACGGCGTCTGCACTCCCGGCGAGACGACTGGCGAACTGGCAGGCAGCTCGACCTGAAGGGGATCCGCCATGTTCGCAGACGCCTGCTCAATGATGGTCTTTGGCTTTGGAGTCGGCGCCAGAGGATCCGGCGATGACATGTAATCCCGCTCCGATGGCACCGGCCCCACAGGTGGCGTAACAAGGCGCTCGTTCTCGGGAAGAACCACGGGAGCTTCTTCCTGAGGGGGAGTAATGATGGGCTCTTGGAACTCATAAGGGGGAGTGTTGACCGGTGGCGGTGTGACGGGCTGCTGTTCTTCAACAACGGGTGGCTCTTTGAGAACGAGCGGCTCTTCGGTGATAGGGGGCGTCTCGGAGGAAGTCGCGTCAACAGATGGTGCCTCGACAAAAGGAGCCTCGGCAGAAGGAGCCTCGACAGAGGGAGTCTCGATAGAAGAAGCCTCAACAGAAGTCTCGACGAAAGGCGCATCGATCGAAGGAACCTCTACAGCAGGTGGCGTCA